ATATCTAAGTCAGAGTCCATTCAATTCGAGAAGAATAATGTTAGTACTTTGGTTCGACGGATAAGATGGTATAATGCAGTATCAATTTTGAAAGAAACATTATATCTTGGGAGGAAGACGCCCAATAATTCTTTTAGCACTTGTGTAGGGAACAAAATCTATTTTAAGGAGTTTTACTATAGCATACTTCTCTTCATCTTTGTTTCTACTTTTTCTTTCTTTCGACTGTACAAATCATTAATATTGACGACATTAATACATTTAAGTAAAATCATGTGAGTCCCTAACATTTATGCTTGTGTCTCTATGTCCCTAATCTTTTAAACTTTTGTTCAAAGTATCCCAACTTGACAGAAACCATCTATTTAAATGGCAAAACGACGCACGTGATAAAATGACTCGAGTATAATTATTCAAAATTAATTTCTCGCACTTTGAATGCTAAAAATAGAGTTATTTGCCTTCTACTATGTGGAAATGAGGAATCTTTTTTCTTAGTTTATATCCGTCCAGAAGTTCTTCAATGTGGATGGAAAATATTTTTGAACAATTATATCCATCAATCGTTTATCGATACTTGTCATTTTACCATGTAAATAGACTATTTCTATGGAGTTAGAATAAAGTGGTCCCAAACGAAATGTTAGGAACATTGCGTGACACAAACGAAAAGTAGCATTATCTGACATTTCTTATTTTTACAGACTCTACCCTAAATTTTATTTTGACCAAATTTGACTAAATTGAAAAGTGTAATATGGTAAGTTTAAAATTACCACATTAAATAAATAAATCAATCAAATCAAATAAAATCAAAGAAATAGAAAATGATTTCTCTTTCACTCCCTACCATCCTGACAACATTAATATTGACAACATTAATACATTTAAGTAAAATCCTGTATGAGTCCCTAACATTTATGCTTGTGTCTCTACGTCCCTATTCTTTTAAACTTTTGTTCAAAGTATCCCAACTTAACAGAAACCATCTATTTAAATGGCAAAACGACTCTCGTGATAAACTTTTGTTCAATGCTCGAGTATACCTCATTTAAGCTAAGAAAGGGCTTTATCAGCAAGACTTGTGCCTTGATTCCTTTATACGAATCATTTAGGTCCATTAGGAACTTCATTACCCAATCCCTTTGTTGGTTTTCAACCACAAGTTTTAACCCCCCATAGCTACAATTTGGAATGGCTTCATAATTCATGAGATCATCCAACAGAGTTTTGAGTTTGGAGAAATAAACACAAATAGGATCCCGATTCTGCAGTAATGTGGTTATGGCTTGTTTGACTTTGAAGATCCTAGGTGCATTTTGTTGGGCAAAACGCTGCTCCAACTCGATCCAAAGCTAATGTGCAGTTTCAGGGTAGGTGGCGCTGCATTTGATGTCAACACCCATAGTGTTTTGCATCCAGGCTATCACGATATCGTTACAGGGCAACCAATGTTCCATGAGTGGATCATTAAGAACTTTTGGTTCACAAATACTCCCATCTATGAAACCTAATTTATTTTTGATGCGTAATGCCCTCTTCATAGATCTAGCCCATGAGTAATAATTGCTGGCATCCAATATATGAGTAACCAGCATGCCACCTATGCTGTCATTGCTTCCAATGAAGTATGGGCTACTTGGTTGGTAGGATCGTGAAGAATGACGTTTGAATTTTGATTTTGATTTTGATTTTGAGTTTGGTATGTGCTTGGATTCCCAGCATTTGAATCCTGTGTCTCATTCTCTGATACTATTTCAAGTAATGCGGAATAATAAAAGTTTCAGCTGGAAATTTGGAAGAGCTGAGAAGAAGATTTTATTGATTGCCAATTATCTGTCCTCTACATCTCATCAGTATATATAGACATAACTTACAGCCAAAAAATAGAATACTATACAATGCCATCAGCATGTGGCAAAACAGAATTCAGAAATACAATTACAAAATAAGAAATTAGCTATAAGATTCTTCTGGAGAATTCTTCTCCCTCTGATGATGTGTATCCTGCTGAATGTGCTGCTGACTAGTATCATCCTCCAGCATGGCAGCTTCGTTATTTTTTAATATTTATCGATACATGTCATTTTACCAGCTAAATAGACTATTTCTATGGAGTTAAAAAGAAGTGGTCCCAAACGAAATGTTAGGAACATTGCGTGACACAAACGAAAAGGTTGGGGTCCATAAAGGAATTTACGCCTTATTTTGGTTGAAGAATTATCTTCCATCTCAAAATTAAATTTTTTCTTCTCTTTGCATCAATTTCTCCTCACTTATTCTCTCTCTAATTGAGCCTCTTTCTAATCCGCCATTGTTTATATTCCAACTTTGTCACTTCATTGTACTTACCCTTATAGATTAATTGGAAAAGTTGCAGTAGCAGTCTCTAACCTTTCTAATTTTTACAGACTTTATCCTAAATTTTATTTTGTGCAAATGAGGGTCACAACATTTCATAAATATGCAGTTGGAGTCCAAATGGATGGAAAACATCCATTTGATCGTTAGTTGATCAAGAAAAGCGAATTTTGCCCAATTTTAACTAAATTGAAAAGTGTAATATGGTAAGTTTAAAATTACCACATTAAATAAATAAAAAACCAAAGGAACAGAAAATGATTTCTCTTTCACTCCCTACCATCCCAGCCTATCCCCCATAGCTAAAAATTAGTCACCAACACCGGCCAGCACCATCACCAACTATCTTCTTCCGCAACACCCACTCACGCCCACCCCCAAACCCCACCCAAAACCAAATCGTTGCCGACGTTATCAAATCGACAGTTATCACCACCTTCGCTACCATCTTCTCTATTGTTAAATGGAACCCAAATAAAAAATCAAAATCAATGAATATGAATATGAATAACTTTTTCTAATTTACATTTTTAAAACTCATGACTAATTTTTTTACTTAAAATTTATGGTTTAAACTTATAAGATATATATATATTTTTTTCTTTTTTACTTATATGTAATAAATTACTTAAAAATGAACTTAGAAGCTAATTGCTTTTACCTTATAATTGATTATTTTTTTTTTTAACGAAGTAGTGAAAGTTTTAGTTCATATCTGCTTGTAAAAAATTTACCTATTTATATTGATCTAATTTTCTCTGAATTCATAAAATGCTGAATAAGTAAATACAATTTAAACTCATATCATAGTGTATTGATTTTATACAACAGAGGGAAATTAGGTTCGGATATTATTTCCACCGGCTTGACGGTCCAATCTATCTGTGACACGTTAGCTGAACTAGCCAAATTCATTTCCAATACTTCCACTTTTAATGATCCTGTACGACATTAAGGACGTATTCGATAGAGATTAAAATCGGATTAAAATTGAAAAATTAACTGTTATTATTGACTTTTATTAGACAAGTTGGATCCAATAACGACTATATTTTCAATTTTCGTGGAACTTTAAGCCTAGTCAAACATGCTCTAAATTTGTGAAAAGGAGGACTTTGCAATTTGCATCCCTTCATTCTCGAATTGCAACAGGTCATCGAAAGCGACCTTTACCTGTGCATATAGAACTCAAAAAGACTTTTTGATAAAGTATTTCTTTCGATTGGGTCGTTTCATTTTTGCCCCATAAAATATCAATACTATTTTGGCTTATAACTTTTAAGTATTTCTTTATCTTTCCACTTACTAAAACGAAGAACATCAAGTATTTTGCTTAAGAAACACGGCCAACTTGATTAAGGTCATGTTTGTTTCGGATTAAAATCAAATTTTGACAGCTTTTCAGACACACATTTCAAAAACTTCTATCATAATCTACTAGAAATCTAATTTTAATCCCCACTTTAGAGTAATTTTACTAAACCATACGTAAAAGTTTTCTTCTTCTGTTTTATCTTCTTATCTTCGTTTTTTATATTTTATATTTCATACTTGTTTTTGTGTGTGCAAAAACTCAAAAATTCATGCACCAAAAATTTATTTCATATCTTCAATCTCCTCCAAAAATATCTATACACTGAAAATGACGTGTAAATTGCTGACAAAGTTTGAGTTATTAGCATTAATCAATGAAATAGACTTTTATTTTCTAACAAAATTCAAAAAGAAGAATATTTTTCTCACGCCTAGAATTTTAATAGCAATTTGAATAAAATTCCTATTGAAAATTCCATCTTCTTAACTCAGCTCACATTCAAACGTCTAGACACTTTAATGATACATTTTTTTGTTATTTTCTCAAGAGAAGATATAAAATAATTTTTTTTTAAAAAGGTCCAACCTCGGCGTAGATTAAACATATACGACTTTAGATTTAAAGCGTGTTGGAGGTGGATTTTTGATAATAGATTTTCTGAAGAATGATTTTTTATTTTTTTAATATTTTGAAAAGTTATAGGTACACGGACAAATTTATTTTATTAGGAAAATGTGTAATTGAAAATGTAGATGTGAAAAAAAAAATTGATTTTAAAGATTTTATTTGAAATACAGGCTTAGTCAAAAAAAAAGACTTACCAAAAATGCAGAAAATACAAGACTAATTGGTTCAATTTTGACCAAAAGCCTATGATTATGAGGGGGAAAAAAAATCAACAAACACTTGTTTCTGAATTTTCAAAAAAAATTATAAAAATTCCATACAATTTGGTCAAGTAATATATGAGATTCAAGACATTTCATTCTAAAAATAATAATAATAATTTTCGCTTTCGCTTATATTAATTCATCGATTTTTTTATTCTTCTATTTATTTTACGCGTTTTTCCTTTGTATATTGGACAAGCACGTAGTTTGAATGTGTTGCCGGGGATGGCGGCAATCTAACGCTCCTATTAGAAAAGAACCTACTCGCCTATGTTCCTATTCATATTATTTTTTATTATCCTAATATCAATTATTTATTTCTACAGCTTTTTCATACCTTCTCACTCTATATATGCACAACAGCCTGGTCTCTCTTATATTTCTTCCCATTTCTGCATCTTCTTCTGAACTTGATCCTTCACAACAATACTATCATGGTTCTATCCAAGGCATCCTCCCAATCCGACGACTCGATCCACTCAACGTTCGCCTCTCGATATGTTCGGGATTCTCTTCCAAGGTAATTTTACTATATTCCTATATTTGTTTCTTATGTTCATCTGAATACGCTGAACCACATATTTGAACACAATATATGAATGAATATAGGTTCAAGGTTCCCGAGAATTCGATTCCTAAGGAAGCCGCGTACCAAATCATCAACGATGAACTTATGTTGGACGGAAACCCTAGGCTAAATCTGGCCTCATTTGTTACAACATGGATGGAACCGGAGTGTGACAAGCTTATCATGGCTTCCATTAACAAGAACTATGTCGACATGGATGAGTACCCTGTCACCACTGAGCTTCAGGCAAGTCATTTACATATATTTAATTGACATTTTTGAACAAGTTTCATACTCTAAAAATAATTAAGTATTAAGAAACTCCTTTTCTTTTCAAAGGTATATTATATATATATGTCCCTTGACCTGATCTACGCACGATCACTATATCGAGAGATCGTGCAACATATTTAATTGAGTCGCATATTTCTCGGATAAGCCTGAAAAAACAAACAAAAAATTATTCGACATCATGTCTTTTGCATTAGTTTTTAGAAATTGTCCCACAGATTTACCAAGTGGGATAGTATCTAGGATTATTTTTTTCCCTTGAAGTGGTGGGAGATTATATATTTTTATGTAAAGTAGTTTATTTCGCATGGAACAAGAGATGATAGTGCATAGTTGTGAATAGCCCACAAATACAATAATCTAAAGCAAATGTGAAGAAAAGAATAATGCTTTTCATATCGATTAATTATCATAGACAATTTATGTGGCGTTTTATCTGGACAATGTTACATGTACACCTAGTCTTACATAATTAATGTTTTACATAATATCACACAACACTTTATCATTTACCAGTTTAAAAACATGATTTTCATCCAATCTTTTCCCTCCACATCATTTCGGTCACTTCTTTTGGTTTCCTTCTTTCCGAACGAATAGCAAAATCCGTTTTACATACCTTAAAATATCAAATTGATTTTTTCTTTGTTTGGTTTATATTAAAATTGAGCGGTGCTAAGTAGGATGTTGTGCCTTTCTAAAAAGTAATGTGGATTCCCACATGAATTGTCTATAGTGGTCCATGTCTATGAATAGTATTAATCAGACGAAAGTGGTTCTAAATTTCCTTTCGGGGGTAAATACTCGATGATTGTTTGGGATAGCTTAATAAGTTGTTAAAAATTGAGGTCATATTTCATGGGACCCAAAAATTTTATCAATTTTTTAATCATATATTTTATTAAATTTTTTTTATCGGAGAAAAACTTTGTCAAAGTTCAAACAACCCCACAATCAATATAATTACTTTAATTTTTGTTTCTTTACTTTTTGGTGGGGCCGAGGTAGAATATGTACTATAGTTGGTAATTGACCCCCCACTCACCTTTTAAGAGAGGGCCATCAAATCGAATCAATTCGGTTCATGACTGTGTCCCAAAATTGAATTACGCGGTTCCAATTTGATTCTTAATTTCAGTTAAAGAACTTAAATTTAATTAATTCTCGTATTACATGTTTTGTAATAATCTCAAATAGATAAACCATATATGAACTAGTAAGTATTTTGAATAACCGACACTTTTTTGTTACATGTAACCAAAAAAATTTGACAACGAATCCAAAAATTTACATAACAATTTGTACTTCATATATTTTTCTTTCTAACGCTTGAAAACAAATAGACCAAAATTACTAGTGGACGAATTTGGTCCAAGTTCCATCATTACACAAGAAACGTTTGGCTTCGTATCGTATGTAGAATATCCATTTTGTTCTTGTTTCCATTGCAATTGGCCGATACTCGACCCTACTTAGACGTGATGTTTGCTTCTAAATTCATGATTTGACTTTAAAATAATTGATTGTTTTAGTTATTATTAAGAAAAATATCCTAAATAAAAAATTACTTAAAAATAAGTTATACTTAGCCACGGGCCCACATGCCTAAATTTATTGATTATTATAATATGAAAAAATGGGATTAATCCATGCCTAACTTCAAGTCGTTGTTTGTGGCGATGAGTCATGTACCAAGACCGACCGTCAAAAAGCATCCTAAAGATTTTAGTATTTTAACTTTATGCCAAGAAATGAAAGAAAAAAAAATACAAAAAATTTTTTATTTGTTTATTTCAATTTTAATGAAATAGACATTTTAGTCTATTTGATTTAATATAAAAAATTTAAATCAAAGTCGACAATTAATATTGACAACATATATTTAATGAGATTCATAACTTTTATCAATTTTTTAATCACACATTTCATTAGTTATTATAAAAAATTAATAAAAATATAATTTTTAACAAAATTGAACGAGGACTTGGTCTTTTTTCTTTTTCAACGTAGAAAAAGGGGAAATTTTTCCTTTTTTTTTTCAACGTAGAAAAAAGGAAAATTCTACATAAACAGGGCCTACGTGGCACTGTTCAAATAGGGGGACTCTAGAACATATGAACAATTCGACCGTTTTATGTAAATGTCAAATGTTTTGAACTTGACCATACCCATCCAAGTAATAGTTTCGACCACCTTGGACTTCATATAATAAGCATTTGTTTGGTAGAGATTAAAATCAATTGTTTACTTTAACTTAGATTTTAATCAGACTTTTTAGCTATGTCAAACATTGACTAATTGTGTTCTTTTTCCGGAAAGAGAAATGTCAATTAGTAATTAAATTCATAAGCCATGACCATAGATTAAAAAATAAATACAAATACAATTTTAGACCTTTCTTTTAATCGCGTCAAATATTTTCATTACAATTTATCAAGCGGGTTATTAATTGACCATCAAATGACACTCGTATCACTTGCAGAATCGTTGCGTTAACATGATCGCACATCTTTTCAACGCTCCACTGGGAGACGGGGAGGCAGCAGTTGGAGTTGGAACAGTAGGATCATCAGAAGCCATTATGCTTGCAGGCTTGGCATTCAAGAGAAAATGGCAAAACAAAATGAAAGCCCTCGGTAAACCCTGTGACAAGCCTAACATCGTCACTGGTGCCAATGTTCAGGTATGTACAAATGTTATGTCACTAATTAAGTTGGAATATTAATTGGTCATGCATTTATTTAAATTGGCCTTTGCACAGGTTTGTTGGGAAAAATTTGCTAGGTACTTTGAAGTGGAGCTGAAGGAGGTTAAGCTGAGAGATGGCTACTATGTAATGGACCCTGAGAAAGCTGTGGAAATGGTGGATGAGAACACAATTTGTGTTGCTGCAATCTTGGGATCTACTCTTAATGGAGAATTTGAAGATGTTAAGACCTTGAACGACCTTTTGGTGAAAAAGAATCAGGAAACTGGGTATGCGTCTTTCTCGAATTAGGGTTCAAGCCTCATCGTCACTTATTTGTGAAAATCTCAAGTGTAAAATCTTTGATGAGACGGATTTTTAATTAATAAATGTGTGCAGGTGGGACACTCCAATTCATGTGGATGCAGCAAGTGGTGGGTTCATTGCACCATTTCTATACCCGGAACTTGAATGGGATTTCAGGTTGCCATTGGTGAAGAGTATTAATGTGAGTGGGCACAAGTATGGACTTGTGTATGCAGGGATTGGATGGGTAATTTGGAGGAACAAGGAGGACTTGCCTGAAGAACTCATCTTCCACATTAACTACCTTGGTGCTGATCAACCCACTTTCACGCTCAACTTTTCTAAAGGTACAAGAAACGAAAACCGACGCAATAATTTTCACACAAAATATTAAGCCCGACCAAAAAATTATGGCTCATTGGCTTGGAAGGGATTGAATAGTGTTGTCCAATACTGTCTACCGAACATGGTCTAATGCTTTACGTCGAAATAATTTGAGGGATACTAAATTGTATACCCTTTTTTGTGTTGCAGGTTCTAGTCAAGTAATTGCTCAATACTATCAACTCATTCGCTTGGGTTACGAGGTAATTAAGTGAGAGAAAATCAATATATTCTTGATTCAAGTCAATTATCTCAGTTCAATTATTGATTAAGGTGTTGATTGATCAGGGGTACAAGAACATCATGGAAAATTGTCAAGGAAATGCAATGGTACTGAAGGCGGGGCTGGAGAAAACAGGACGCTTTAACATTGTATCAAAGGACAATGGAGTCCCATTGGTGGCATTTTCTCTCAAGGACAATAGCCATCACACCGAGTTCGAGGTGTCTGACATGCTACGACGCTTTGGGTGGATCGTCCCGGCCTATACCATGCCACCAGACGCACAACATGTAACAGTTCTAAGGGTTGTCATACGCGAAGATTTTTCAAGAACTTTAGCCGAGCGCCTTGTCATGGACATTCAAAAAGTTCTACACGATCTTGATACGCTTCCAGCTAGAGTTACCGAGAAAATGGCTAAATTGGAAGAGCATGCTCGGAATGGTGTCGTGGTGAAGAAAAGTGCCATTGAGGTACAAAGGGAGATCACTACAGCTTGGATGAAATTTGTTGCTGACAAGAAGAAGACTAATGGAGTGTGCTAATGCTTCGATCGGTCCGCGGAATTGCAAATATTATTAGTCGTATCTTATAAATGACTATGACTATGAAGTTTATTCGGGATTTTCTATTTATAACCGTATCTATTTTTGTAATATGGTGAGATTGAAGAGTGCCCCGCGTGGATCTAATTCTGGTAACGTTGTTAAGGTGATGCAAACTATGTTTCTTACTATTTCAAAGTTGCCCAAAAAATAAAAATAAGTTTTTCTCTTTAGTTTTTGTACGCAGTACTGCTGTTATATCATATTGAACTTCTTTGTCTTTCAACTTATGAATTTGTGAATTTCTTTTGGAAAAACTATAATGTATCATATACACGTGAATACCCTGACGACTTAAGCACTTCAACCCAATGGAATAAGTTCGGATAGGACCGAGGATGTCAATCTTTAAGGTGAATTTCAGCATATTGATATATTAGACTCAATAGAAACATACAAAAATATGAAAATTAATTTAACGTACTAAATATGAAAATTATGAATGTTGAGTGAATCTAAAGAAGTTTTCTCGTATGGAGTATGGACATAATTTTCATAATTTAGTACGAAAATACTCGAGCTATAACCAATGGATAAAGGATGCTATCCAAATGCATTTTAGAAATGGTACGGGAAACATGGTTTCCACTCCATAACTCGCCTCATATAATGTTCATTTCAAATACTAATTTTTTATCACAATAAAAAAAAAAGTAGTGATTTTTACCAACTAAAAAATTTTAAAAATGAAAACAAAAAAATATAAATATAAATAAGGTAACAAACGAGATACCCCGTCCGCGAAATTAACTCAAACTCCTTCTCATGAGCACACAGAAATATCCGACTGAACAGGAGATGAAAATGGTTGCTCCGATCTGTCCTGTGTCATCCCTAATGCATTTCAAGTAATTGTAGCAAAACTTAAGCTATTGATCCATTTACCATTTATTATTTAATGGATTAATTCTTTATATTGAAATGGATGAAGGGTCAAATTGTTTGATAATTCCTCGTGATTGGCAAACTGTTTGACTTCTGTGAAGATTTTTAAAGACTTTTTTCATACTAGTTAAAAACTTGCAATGCACCTGTCTAGGCCTGATGAAAACTGACAGTTGAAAACTACAATCTTGACAGTTGGTTTAGGGTTAGATATATTTAAGAGGAAATGTGTGACAAATATTCAGACAACCGTCACACATTTACACCCCACATCCCAAATTTGCCCTCATTATTTCACGCCTCACACCCCTATTGCTAGAAAGATTGGAGTACAAATTAGGGTTGTAAGCGGTTCGATTTTATCGATTTTTGACAAATTTTCAAATCAAACCGTTTTGATCGATTTGAAAAAAACTCAAACCTAAATTTAACGGTTTGATCGGGTTTTAAACTGCCGGTTTCGCGTATATTTTTTTTCATGTCTAGTGTCTACTTTTATGCCATTAATTCAATATATATTTATATCTTACTGACAATAAATCTAAAATAAACTAAATATATCTACTATAAATTTAAATACCAACAAAATAAAAGTAAAATCACAAAAAACTAAAGCATAGTTTTTTATTCGCCCTTTTGACGTTTTAGAATAATACTTTACGATAAAGATACAATACAAGTCCACTAAAATAAATATAAGGTCCAAAAAAACATAATAATGTCCATTTTCAACTAGCAAAAGGAATAAACGAATTAATTTTGTCACAGAACTCAAGAAACATCAAATTTTGTCACAGAACTCACAGAACTAGCAAAAGGAAGAAACATTCACATACTCAAGAAGCCACAGAACTCATGATCAATTTTGTCCTTCATACACAAAAAAAATTTTAATTAGCAAATTGGAAAAAAAAAAAAGAATTAAGACACGGATCCATCTAATAATGGCTTCCAAAAGACAAGCTGCAAATATTTTTTCTCCCCCATTCCACTATATATACCCACCTTCATCTTCTGCAATTTAACACGGAATTATACATATTCTCTCATATGTAAACAAATGTCTTTTGCGCACCTGATAGCCCGAATTTCAACTTTAAGCCTTACTCACGATCAATAAATATGTAAACAAATTTCAACTAGAAAGTGACAAAATTTCAATTTTAAGCCTTACTCACGATCAAATAAATATGCAAGAACCTGAAATAGTCTAATAATACCGGCGAACGTACACTACCGGCGACTGGGAGGTTCGAGATTTCGAGGGCGTTGACGATTTGGGGGAAACCAGGAGGCGCCGCGGGGAGCGAGGCTGCGACCAGCGAGTTGCGAGTGAGAGAAATGGAAATTGGAAGATTAGGGTTGTGACTTGTGAGTATATGGACTTGGGTTGAGCTGTTTAGTGCTACTTCTTTCAAATTTGGGCCTTTTTTTATATATAATTAGGTTTGGGCGGGTCATAAATCTTAATAATTAATAGGAAATTAGAAATTGACAAAAATACCTACAAAATGACAAAATTATTCAATTTTATAAAATTGAAATTTTGGATAAATTTTCAAAAAAAATCAATTTTTTATTTTTATATTTTATATATTTTTCGGCGGTCCGGTTTGGTATCAAACCTTAATTAAAATTTCCAAACCTAAACCAAACCGTTTTTGATCGATTTGGTTTGGTTCAAAACCATTTCGTTGACAGGTCCACGTGGCACCAAATCACCGGTTTCAAAATTGCGATTTCAGTTTGATTTTTCGATTTGAGAGTTTTTGCTTACAGCCCTAGTACAAATGAGAACCAATGCAAACCATATTATCGATGGACAAAATGGTAAATTGGTTTTGTTTGAAACAAACCACAGTTACAACGCCTTTTCAGTGGGCTCCGTTGATATGACCCAAAACCAACTATGGATTGAACAACTCAATTTGAATAGTTTTCAACCTAACAAATGAACCAATCCAATCTAATAAATCTTGTGTTGGTTCAATTTGAATTGTTAAGTTTGCCCATGGAAAAATTCACTAGGGGTGTCCAAAAGTCCCGAACCGAACCGGACCGGACCGAACCGAACCTGAACCGAACCGAACCGAACCGAGCGGTTCTTCAAAAATTAAATACCCGAACGGGTACCCGAATCGAGAACCGATGGGTTTGGGTCGGGTCTCGGGTCTAGACCAAGAACCGAAGAACCGAATAAGAACCGAAACTAAATAATTTTTTTATTTTTTATATTGAATTAATTAAATTATTTTATTTTTTT